AAAAAGATGTGAATGTATTTATTTATTTTTACAAAAGGTGAATTTATCGCTCACGTTCTAATAAAATTAGACAGACATGTTTGGATGTGTACTAGTATGTGTCTTGGATTATCCTACAGACAAGTGATCAATCTATTGATCCCTTAGCACTTCTGACAGAGCATTTTAAATGTACTTTGGGGTTGAATTACAAGCAAAATTACTTTTTCTTTCCTTGCACATGATTGGGTTTTTATTTGCATAGTGAATCTTCACCACTTTCACTAAGCGAAGTGAAAATCCCCTTACAAAGTGAACTTGCTTTTAGTAAATCAACCGGTGTATTTCTTCCTGTGCATAACATGTATCAGCATCATGCACAATATGTTGAATACAATACAGCCCTTCGTGTCCATCTCATTTCTTTCATTACTGTCCATTTTTTAACATACCACCCAAGCATTTCTGCTGGATCATTTTAAAGTCAAATTGGGCTATGGACTATTCTCACAAGTGACAAACGTGTGCGAACATCAATTGTAAATTTATCTTCTCAGTTCTCATGATCCTCTATAAGTCTTATTAAAGCAGAGCTTCACCCAAAAGTGGAAGCTCCCCTTGTTTGCCTCCTCCTCCCCTCCACTGCCATATTTGGCACCCTTGTTTTTTGGGGGAGGGAGTGGGTACCTGGGTTTTGACAGGTACCCGTTCCCACTCCAGCTCAGTTTGCGGCAGCGAAGTGACCTGGAAGTTTGGCCCCCTCTTTCCTCCCACAGTCTCCTGGGACACAGGTCCCAGAAGGCTGCCGGACCAATCAGAATGCGCAGCATGTCATGCGCATGTGCAGTGGCCACCCAGCTGTGAAGCTGTCACAGCCTGGTGCCCACAGTTGAGATGCCGGCATCGTGGAGAGAAGGAGAAAAGGGACGGCGCGGGTGAGCACATCGCTGTACCTCAGAACAGGTAAGTGTGTGTGTTTATTAAAAGTCAGCAGCTACAAAAACGGCTGGAACTCCGCTTTAAGTCTCCCCAGAACAATCTTTCCACTCTGTGTGTGTTAGAAGAACACTTTTTAAAGACTGCGAGAAAGTGGTAAAGGTCACAGTCACACAATAAAATACAAAACAAATGGAAAACCAAAAATGTTGTCAAATTATGTGCGTAAGCCTTACCTGAGTCTTCCTTATTCTTAAATTCACAGAGGATCTATTGGCATTATCATCATGGTCAACAGTTTGCTCAATTGCTATAAGAAAAGGAAGCGGTATAGGAAATATGAAAATGGCATAATTTTAAAACTTTCCAGAGACCTGCCGTTACCTGTTGGAAATTCATATTTACACTGTAAACTTTCCCCCCTTTAAAAAGTAAATCAAGTGACGCCTACGTACTTGTTTCCAGGTCAGTGTCTCACTTGGTAAACACAATCAGAAAGCTAGCCCCCAAACCTGTACCTAAACCACTTCAAGTCTGGACACTTCCACCCCCTTCCTGCCCAGGCCAATTTTCAGCTTTCAGTGCTATCACACTTTGAATGACAATTGCATGGTCATGCAAGGCTGTACCCAAATGAATTTTTCAGCATTTTTTAGAGACAGATAAAGCTTTATTTTGGTGGTATTTATTTAACACTGGGATTTTTATTTTTTTTTGCTATATAAATGAAAAGTCCACAAATTTTGAAAAAAGTGTTTTTCTTATAAAATTTTGCAAATAAATAATATTTCATCATAAATCTTGGCCAAAATGTATTCAGTTATCTTTTTAGCAAAAAATAATCCAAATTAGTTTAGAACCAAAAATTATAATTTTATTTAAAAAATGTTTTTACATTTTTATTTTAATTTTTTATATGATATTTATTTTTACATATTGTCACCCTTGCAGTACAGTGTCACCATGGTGACACTGTACCACTTGTGGGGGGTGATGAAGATTTTTTTTTTTTTTTTTTTTTTACACCGATTGCTTTTTCATACATAAAGGCTGAAAAAGCAATCATTTCTCCTTCTCTCTGGCTGCATTCTTGCAGCCATTGAGAAATACTGTGTGAGCTGTGATTGGTCACAGCTTGTCACATGGTACAAGGCTGTTGTGAATAGCCTTGTACCTTGTGACCTCTGTGATCATTCACAGATTTCACACGTGGTAAGCAATGATGTCAGAAGTGACATCTTGCTTACTACTCTGCATGTGATCACTGTGCAGGGAGCGCGCACAAGCAGGCAGGGCGGGGAGGTTGTTTATAAACAGCCAGCCGCCCCTGCACTGCCACAGTCCGGCCGTTTATATACAATGGCCGAACGGGAGGTGGTTAAAAAACAAGCTGGCAAAGAAAGCCTTCAGATTTCTCTTCTTACAGTTTACTTTAACAAGTTCTAAGATGGGGGGGGGGGAGGCAATCTATTGGCCATGCACATTTTACACAAATCATATTCAGCTATAATTAAAACAGCATAGAGTTTTGATGAGGTTTAACATTTTTAAGACTAGTTAGGCTTTAGCTGAAATTTAATTTTAAAAATCACGAGTGCCCAAATTACAACTGTGCTTGACTTACTTGAGCCAATAAAAATAAAAAAGACATACCAATTGCACACACCAGTCCTCTAATTTGAAGAAAATGTAAAATATACTTCAGCTAATCAAATGTCACATGTTTTTAGTAAAAAGTAAATTAAAATATCAAAAGAACCTGAAAAACAAACAAAAAACACAAAGAATTTTCACACTAGAGGGGATCTATGCCTACAAATGTCAGTGATCCCTTAAGATTAAGCTAATCAAACCAATGTATTAAAATTCAGTGTTCAGAAATGTCATTCTCCTGAGAAAGGAGCTTCAGCATTTGTTTGCTCAGAACACAACAGGTTACATCTATAAACTGCTGCTAGTAAACTCTCCTGGCAGGAAGACCAGTTCATTTGTCAAATACAGTGCCTTGAAAAAGTATTCATACCCCTTGAAATTTTCCACATTTTTCATGTTACAACCAAAAACGTATTTTCTGTGCGGATCCAGATGTGAACCTAGGGTAAATACAGCTGTTCTGTGAAGCCCTCAGAGGTTTGTTAGAGAACATTAGTGAACAAACAGCATCATGAAGGCTAAAGAACACACCAGACAATCAGGGATTAAGTTATGGAGAAGTTTAAAGCATGGGTAGGTTTTAAAAAAAATATCCCAAGTTTTGAACATCTCACGGAGCACGGTTAAATCCATCATTCAAAAATGGAAAGAGTATGGCACAACTGCAAACCTACCAAGACATGGCCGTTCACCTAAAAAGACAGGCCGGGTAAGGAGAGCATTAATAGGAGAAGCAGCCAAGAGGCTCATGGTAACTCTGGAGGAGCTGCAGAGATCCATAGCTTAGGTGGGAGAATCTCTCCACAGGACAACTATTAGTCGTGCACTCCACAAATCTGGCCTTTTATGGAAGAGTGGCAAGAAGAAAGCTATTGTTGAAAGAAAGCCATAAGAAGTCCTGTTTGCAATTTGCAAGAAACCATATGGGGGACATATGATGGTGGCAGCATCATGTTGTGGGGATGTCCTTCTTCTGCAGGGACAGGGAAGCTGGTCAGAGTTGATGGGAAGATGGATGGAGCTAAATACAGGGCAATCTTAGAAGAAAAGCTGTTAGAGTCTGCAAAAGACTTGAGACTGGGGCAGAGGTCTACCTTCCAGCAGGACAACGACCCTAAACATACAGCCAGAGCTACAATTGAATGTTTTTGATCAAAGCATATTCATGTGTTAGAATGGCCCAGTCAAAGTCCAGACCTAAATCCAATTGAGAATCTGTGGCAACACTTGAAAATTGCTGTTCACAGAAGCTCTCCGTCCCATCTGACAGAGCTTGAGCTATTTTGCAAAGAAGAATGGGCAAAAATGTCTCTCTGTAGATGTGCAAAGCTGGAAGAGACCTCCCCAAAAAAGACTTGCAGCTGTAATTGCAGTGAAAGGTGGTTCTACAAAGTATAATTTTCCTTGCACTACACAATTATGTGCCACTTTGTGTTGGTCTATCACATAAAATCCGTTAAAATTTACGTTTTTGGTTGTAACATGACAAAATTTGGAAGATTTCAAGGGGTATGAATACTTTTTAAAGGCACTGTATAAGGAGGAACAACATTCTGCATCTTCCACAGAACAGTAGGTCACCACAGTCCATATTTGTGGCATGGATAGTTGCTTTATGTGTGCATGATTCCACAAAACTAAAACAGTAGTTTTGGTCGCAAAACAAAATATATTTCACACTGAGTTATTTATTTCAGGTACTTAAATAGCGCCATCAATTTACGCAGCGCTTTACATATATATTGTACATTCACATCAGTCCCTAACCCGCAAGGGGTGTACAATCTAAGGTCCCTAACTTACATTCATACACACACATACTAGGGCCAATTTAGACAGGATCCAATTAACCTACCAGCATGTCTTTGGAGTGTGGGAGGAAACCGGAGTACTCGGAGGAAACCCACGCAGGCACAGGGAGAACATGCAAACTCCAGGCAGGTGGTGCCGTGGTTGGGATTCAAACCAGCGACCCTAGTACTGCCAGGCAGAAGTGCTAACCATTTAGCCACTGTGCCGCCCATAGCCACATAGCTCAGTGCTCCGCATTTTGCATTTTCGGACAAGCTTCATTCATCTCCATGATGTCTGGAGGTCTCATTCATACAACTAAATGGTTAAATTGCTGCTGCAACCACTCACAACTGGTTACAGTGTATAGCATGGATACATCAGAATGCCAACAAGCATATTTCAAAGCACAAAGCTGTTTTTTATTGTATGATTGCATAGAAAGAAAATGATTCAGGACCAGGAAACCCTTCTAAGGCATGTGATGAAGGATCCCTGCACAGTCCTCGTTCACATGTGTACATTTTTGGGGCAGTTAAATACATGACATCTGTGCGATTACATGCAAAAAGCGTTAGAACTGTGTGAAGAAAAAAAGAAATAGGAACATTGCTCTTTACTATAGAATGACAGACTTCATTATGCTTTTTTTTTTTTTCAGTTTTAATGGCATTTAAATGAACCAAGAATGCTATAGCGCAAAGGGGGCCAATTACACCATTCTGTAAACAACAGAATACCTTACACTTTAATTTTGTCCGAACTTTGTTGGCGATATTCTTGATTTCTTTGTTAAGGCTTTCAAGTTCATCCTTGGTTTCTGCAATTAAAAGAAGTATATTATAAGTCCAAACAGTGGAAGCAATTCAAAAGATTCTGAGGACAAGATAAAGAGTTAAACATAAACTTGATTTTAGCAGTAGTAAATCAATTACTAGTACTCATGACCTTATGCCTTAACATTGTTATGTTGCCTGGAGTGGAACATACAAACTTACAAAGGAAATCAGGAAGTAGTACATATTTATTAATGTCACCTTTAGAACAAGTTACAAAAAAAGAACACTTTAGCCCAATCACCTATATAAAAAATCATAACATAGCAGAAGACGGCTTGCACTATATAGTATAATATATTATATCTCACTGTTTTCCCTTTAACGATATTTACCAATTTGATGGTTCTAAACGTAGTTGAAAAAAAAAAAAAAAATTCAGCTCCTGAAGCTCAAAAACAGAAAGAATTCCTGTTTCAGCAATTTGAAGTGGACAAAGGCACAGCCAGAGCGGTTGTTCCACATGACAAGTCAATGCATTACCTATGCACATTAAACATTAGGAGCTGAAAGGAGGCAGTACAACACTAAGCTAAACATGAACTGATGAAACAGAATTGTCTTGATTAAAACCTTACTTTTCTCACTATAAAGTAGCTTTTTCACTGAAACTTTATTGGTTGTGTGACACGGATAACTGATGTTGGAACTGTACATTTTTACCAAGATGAATACTTCCATTTAGTATTTAGCATTCTATTTTAGACCCACATGGTTAGGATTTTTTTCTTGAAGGGTAGGAAGTAGCATTAGTCCTTGCTGACATTTTTTATTATCATACAGAATTTATTTTGTGTGAACAGTTTGCGCAGAACTTTACAACATGAAGGCAGACAGTACAGTTTGGATACAATTTAATAGAGGAGGAATCAGAGGGTCCAGTTCATTAGCGCTTACAATCTAAGAGGAAGGATCAAGTGATCCAAAAAACTAAAAGCTGTGGGGAATGAGCTGATGGGAAAAGTAAAACGTACAGTTTTAGGTGGGGGCAGAATAGGCTTCTCTGAAGAGAAGGGTTTTCAAGGACTGTCTAAAAGCAAACAAAGCAGGTGATAGACAGATTAGGGTAGGGAGTTCCATAGGATGGGAGAGGCTCAGGAAAAGTCCTGGAGGAGAGCATGAGAAGAGGTGATGAAGGTGACGAAGGAGCTAGAGAGCAGAAGGTCTTGGCTGGAACACAGGACGATTAGGTTGACATTTTGAGACTAGGTTAGTGATGTAGCTAGCGGCCAAGTTGTGGATGGCTTTGGAAGTTGTTAGTATTTTAAATTTAATTTGTTGGGTGAGGGGAAGCCAGTGGAGGGATTGACAGAGAGGAGTAGCAGACACTTAATGGTTGGTAAGGTGGATAAGCCTAGCAGCAGCATTCATGATGGACTGAAGGGGGGATTTGCAGTAGTTGAGGCAAGAGATGACCAGAGAATGAACTAGGAGCTTTGTTGTGTCATTGGTTAGGAAGGGGCCTATTTTGGAGATGTTACGTGGGTTGAGGCGGGAAGCTTTGGACAGCAATTGGATGTGGGGCCAAAAGGATAGTTCAGAGCCCAAGATTACACCTAGAAACCTGGCATGGGGAACAGGTTGATAGTTATGCCATTGATCTTGTCAGAGAAATCAGGAGAAGAGGCACGTGGGGGAGGAAATATTATGAGCTTGATTTTGGATAGAGTTTGAAGAAGTGGTGCGATATCCAGTAGTAGAATTGTAAGTAATATTAAATGTGCAGTTGGATAAGAACCAGAGAAGAATACAGTCACACAGACCAAAAGCATAGTCCTCCGATTCAAAGGAAGCAGAAAGGTCCAAGAGTAGAAGTACAGAGTCCACAGATATCGGTCCATGAGTTAGTATTAATATTTCCATTTGATATTTCCATTTGATATTTTCTTATGATCCCTATGTGGATTTGTTTTTTTGATTAAGTTATTTTATTATAACCCATGTTCAATAATTGTTGTTATTGCTCATTTGTGCTTCAGGTTCATGGCCTTGTATGAAGCTATCATTATGTCTTTTATGTAATAATATTAGGTTTAGGATGTCTAGTGCCTGTATTGGGAATAGTTATTAGTGCATCCTAGCACTGTAAACGAATGGTTGCTGGGGATCCTGTATTGTTAGATTGAGTTCTCCTAGTATTAGTGTTTGGTGTTTTTAGCACTACTTTAAAATGGCCACCATCATATCATCATTTTCTGAGACCAAGGCAAAATGCTGCCATAGGGTTTGGCAGCCATAGGTTTTAATACTAATTTAAATAGCCGCCGTTATATCACCATGTCCTGAGACCATGGGAAAATGGCCACCATAGGGTTTCATTATGAGGACTTGGGCAAAAAGGCCACTGATTGAGTGGTTCTTTGTATACTATATAAGGATTCCCCCTCTGCCTTCTGCCATATCTCTTATGAAGTCACATGGGCCTTAGGCAGACGTGAACCAGAAGTGACGCATGGGGAAGCGCAGCCTGGCTTTGGTGATTCCAAATCATTTTTTATGGCGTTATTTACCTTTATATACATGTGAGTGTATTACCTTTTAATAAAGCCTACTTGTTAGTACTTACTGCACCATCAGTGTCCTTTGTTTCCTCAGTATAAGGGTAGGAATCTCTGACCTCAACCACCTTTAAAGGGACCGGTCTTTTCTTTGGTTTGGTGATTTATTGAAAGAAAAGAGGGTGTCCAGCAACTCTGATATGGCGGATGACCAAGAGAGTGAAAGATCCTTTGCGTACTTGTTATTATAAAGCGCAATCTGACTGCTCTAAGGTGAGAGTTCTGTGAGCACTGAGGTGACACAACCTGCATGTTTTACAGCACTTCAATTGATGGTGTTGGTTATATGAGCATGTGAAGAAGCATATAAAGTTGTGAAGAATTTTAATGTTGAATTTTGTTGTTTTCTTATTTACATGGACTTGCTTCTATGGACTATTACTATGATTTGTGTATGTTATATTTTCACTCAATTGTATTGATGATTTAGATCTGTATACTGCACAATAGCAGCGCAGCATTGAGAGTTTATTTTTATGGTTTTGTTGTGGGAACACAATTTCTAATGCTGGCAGCAGCTCTTCACTATTATTATTCTAATATTTTATTATTCAAATCACACTGAGGTAGCACAGGATTTTTCTTTTGTTCTGTTTAGAATGTACTCTTCTGTACTAGGATGTACTATTCTGTACGAATAGTGTCCATTGGATTTAGCCATTAGCAGATTGTGCATTTTAGGAGAGCAGTGTCTGTGAAGTGTTCAGGGCAAAATCCAGACTGAAGCAGATCAAGGTTATCCTCAGTGAGGTGGTCGCTCAGTCGGCTGTAGACTAGATGTTCAAGGAGTTTGGATAAAAAGGGGAGCAAGAAGAAAAGGCAGTAGGTTGTTAAGACTGGTGAGATCCAGTGAGGGGTTTTCTTTTTTTTGTATCAGAAAGAACGTTTATTGTATAATGCACAGAATAACAAATGCATCTCAGTCGGTACTGTACATTTGAATCATCTCAAGTAGGATATATATAAAAGGTCAAAGAAAGATACATCAGGTCTTACATGTTCATCCCCAAAAAAGAGGGGTTTGTGAAAAGAGATTCACAGAAAAGCGGCTACATAATGAATAGAACGTGACACTCAGAAAATTTCCAAAAATTATGCTTTATTACACATATATAGATATGACATATGGGCATATGCCCTGGTTTACCATCACCTCAGTATGAGACAATAACACACAGACCTAAAACCATATAAAATGACATCAAGACCGGTCTAAATGCATGTGCAACAGAAAGAATGACTTCAAGAGTCTAATACCTCTGCAGCGCAAGCACATAGGTGAACACTTCCATGGGGAGGTGTATCCAAAAATTGTACCATAAGTACCATAATATTGAATATATAATAAATGACAATATCAATCTGGTGAATCCCAATAAGGGAATCCAAAAATTATACTATGGATATATATATATATCACATGTATGCAAGGCAGCAGCACAAAAAGCGTGAAGAAGAGAACAATAGGCCTAGGGCCTGTATGGAAAAAGACATAAATGTCCAATATATGATACAATGCATTCCTGTGCCAGCACACGTGGTTGGGGCCCATTCATCTGTAATATGAACAGCTGTATCTCAGAGCTTTTGAATGAAAATAAGCCCCAGTTATTCCCAGGATGGGAGAAAAGATGCAAATAGCAACATTCTGCTTGAAATGGTGTCTTCACCACTGTTTGTGGACTACACACCACCTTTTGTAGAAAAAAACAACAAGACATATCCCAAGGTATCTTCTGCTTGTAGAAATATATATGGTGTTATATCTTGTGTCTACATAAAAGCACCATGATGTCCCCATCCACCTGTGCTGTGGAAAATGAGAATAAAAGAAATGTCCTTCATGGGTATTGCCATACACGGCCACAGAGACCAGGGAGCCACCGCTGACATCCACCGATATACCGCGGGCTCCAGCCCCCTCTTGGCGCCTGTGCTGCTCACACTTGCCTCATGGCATGTGAAGATGGCTTCCTCCTCATGGACCAGCGTGCGTTCCACCTAGTGCGCATGACCGGAAGTGACGTAACCGACGTATATCGGTGGATGTCAGCGGTGGCTCCCTGGTCTCTGTGGCCGTGTATGGCAATACCCCATGAAGGACATTTCTTTTATTTCATTTTCCACAGCACAGGTGGATGGGGACATCATGGTGCTTTATGTAGGACACAAGATATAACACCATATATATTTCTACAAGCAGAAGATACCTTGGGATATGTCTTGTTGTTTTTTCTACAAAAGGTGGTGTGTAGTCCACAAACAGTGGTGAAGACACCATTTCAAGCAGAATGTTGCTATTTGATCTTTTCTCCCATCCTGGGAATAACTGGGGCTTATTTTCATTCAAAAGCTATGAGATACAGCTGTTCATATTACAGATGAATGGGCCCCAACCACGTGTGCTGGCACAGGAATGCATTGTA